CTATATATTTCAAAAGATCAATTTCGGAAATGATTCATATCAAGAATCAAACTAACAGTCTAAATTTACAAAGTGACACTGAAAAATTGCCACAAATGTATTATTCTATCATAACAAACACACACCAAGAATCGAATGTAATTCCTCTATCGTAGTTAATATTTTTATTGTTTATTTTATTGTTTTCAAGTTCATATACATATAAGAACATCGTTATAACATATCTGACTTTACTGGTGTAATGTACGATTTTTCTCTGACTTTTCACTCAAGATTTAACGAATTTTTTAACGAAACATAGGTAACTTTGCATTATATTCATCAACAAATAAATTTAGTATTTTGTAATAGTATTATCTTAATTTAATCGTTTGATTTATATAGTCTACCAACGATGTTTCTTCAAAATAATAATTCGCAATAATTGGAAGGAGAATTTACATTGGGACAAGAACGAGGGTTTATGTTGAGATTATTTTACCAAGAAGAAATTTTGTAATATGGCGAATAGATGTAAGCGAATATTGTATTATAATATGCGTATGATTTAATGTTACATTAACTTAACTATATACTGAAGATGGTCAAATTTTTATGACCGAAACGTTTAAACTTATATTTTAATAATAAAATACGGACTTGAATAAGTCCTCACAAAGTAGATCTTGTGCGTGGTTTTTATGCTTTTTGATTTGACAATTTTGTTTTTGATTTAAACCACATTTTATAAAAGTGTTATATATTAATGGATTAATTGGAACCAATTTATCGTGAACTTTTGTTGCAGAATTGACTGTTGCGATACTATACGCACACACTTTAGAACACAACTAACCAGAACGAAAGCACATGGTCGACTGCCGGAGACCGTTACGCCGCGCCGCGCCGGTGAGAATCGCCTGGGTCTTTATACCTGGATTTAGAGTCGAGCTCAACATTTCATGCTCGGGACTTGTCGGATTCTTCTAAGGAATGTGTTTGTGTGTAAGTATACGAAGTTACAGACACTTCGCAATTTTTTTGTTTATTTGATGATTTTCGGCGTAATTTGCCTGTACTATAGTTCTTACAATAAAGTCAAAAGTCCGTATAAGAGCAATCGGTAATAATAATATCTGTAAAGTGTCATTATATATAAAATAACTAGAAAAAATTCTAATCTGATTGTAAAAATTAGTATAAATAATTCGTACCTTAAGCGTAACTACTTCAACACTCGACGAAAAGGCGGGATTAGAGTTCATATTTAAAAAGATTGAGCAAGTCTGCAACTATCATATATGATTCCGGCAACTTCTAAATGTATAATGTCATAAAAGAAAACACAACGTTATGACAGACAGTCGAAAGAACAAAAACAAGGAAAGAGTGTATTAGGAAGGAGAAAGAGATTGAATAATATTAGAATATATTTCAGGTAAAGAGTGTCATTTTGTTTGTTAATCCCATTCTTTTGGTTTTTAATATGTACCATTTCCGATATTAGCCTTCTACTATAAGAGGGTTCAATGTCCAGAATATCTACTTCATCCCAATTAAAATTATGATTTTTTTCGAGGCGAGTGGAGAGGATATATGAAGATACGAGAGTGAAGGTGAGGACGAGGTAAGGATACACGGAGAAATTCTGGACGAAGAAAGGAGTGAGGTAGGGTTGTGTTATGAGTCCACTTCTCTTTAACTTGTATATCGCGGATTTAGATAAGGAACTAGAGAAGAGAGGAATTGGAGGTATAAAAATAGGTAGGAATAGGATATGGTCTTTGGCTTTCTCTGACGACTTGGTACTTCTGGCTAAAAATAAGGAGGCATTACAAGATATGATGGGAACGTTTAAAAGATTTTTGAATGGCAGAAGGCTTGAACTATTCGCAGATAAAACAAAGATAATAGTAGGTAATAGGAAAGGGAGAGAGAAAAAGGAGAAATGGAAATGGGGAGAGAAGGAAATCGAAGAGGTACAGACTTTTAAATACTTAGGCTTTACTCTAAATACTAGAGGGGATTATAAGGATCATGTGAGAGAATTAGGAAGAAAAGGGAAAATGGTGGCGAGGAAGATATGGGGATTAGGGGGAAGGGTATGCAGGAATTATTTGAAAAGGAGATGGATTTTATTTAAATATTTAGTGCAGAGTGTAATGTCATATGGGGTGGAAATATGGGGTTGGGAGGAAAAGGAAATACTGGAGAAGGTAATGATGGACTATGTAAGATGGATTTTTAGACTAGATTTCTGCACGCCAAGGTACATTATAATGCGGGAATTGGCTATGGATAAGTTAAAGATAGGATGGGGTATAAGAGCGAGAAGATATGAGGAAAAAATTAGAAAAGGTTTTACTGGGAGTTGGGTGCGGGAGTGTTGGGAGGAATAGCAGAATTACCATTGGGAGGATAGGTATGGTAGTGAGAGAGAAAGTTATTATAATAGGAATGGGTGGGAGATAAGAAACAGTAGAATAACGGATAACGAACAAGATAATTTGGAAACGGAGATAATTGATAGGGAAAGGAATGTACAAATGCAATAGGAAGATAGTAGAATTGGTAAAGCGAGATATAATAAGAAATATAAAGAATTAATAGATAACATAAAAGGTCCGGCATATTTACGGGTGGTAAGATTGGAGATAATAAAAAGAGGCGACGAGGTGAGGGCGTTGGCCAAATTAAGGTGTGGAAATCTGAAAGAGGCGAATAAATACTGGCTAGAGGAAGGTGAAGAAAAGAGGTGTATATTTTGTAAAAAAGGTAGGGATAATATAGAACACTATGTAAGGGAATGTGAATAAATGGAGGAGAGGTTCAATGTTTTAGGAGAGGATAAAGGAAGAATTTTAGAGAGGTTATGGAGTGAGGAGTTGGATGAAACTAAGGGTAAAGTTATTAAGGAAATTGTGGAAGGATAGAGATAAGATTTTGAAAAAGTTGAAAGAAGAGGATAAGGAAAAGAAACGAAAGGAAAGTGGATAAGGTGAATAGAAATAATGAATAGGAACTCGGGGGTAAGGCAGGTTATATGAAATAAGGATGCGGTGGAAAGGTCTGAAGGATAGGCGGGAGTTGCAAATAGGTAGCATGATATAGGTTTGATGGAAAGGAAATTAATGAAGTACAATTGTTTACAGGTATAGTTGCTACTGTATGTAATATTTTGAGGTTGTGATAATGTAATGTAATGTAAAATATAAGTAAAATAATGTAATAATAATAATTAAGGATAGTGTGATAAGGTATAATGTAAAGATAGTGTTAAATAACGTGATAATAGTAATAATGAAAAATTGTGATAAAAATTGTGATAACGTCACATAATGCAATGTAATGTATTAATACGACAAGCTAGCAATATGTTAGTGGCCCAAAGGAAAAGCGAATAGGTTATTTAGGATGAGGTAGTATTGACGGAGGAGCGCATATAAGGTATGGAAGAATGTGTGTAGATAAGTGTTATTGTAAACCAAGTCCCCTTCTTGGCTACTGTTAAAGCTGAAGTGAATAAATATATTATCTGGAGACACGGTAGTGTCTCTGCGCTAAGCCAAGTGCGCGACACTGCTGTGCCTCCTTTACGCGAAACGGAGAATTTTTCGGGATAGAGATGATCAGATCTCAGTAACGGCTGAACCGATCAAGTTCTACATACGCTCAAATTGTATGATAAAAGTGCTTTCATTTTTCTTCTACGTACCCTACGAGCGGAGATATCGCGACGCAAAGTCCGGATCTGTCAATTTTCATGTTTTATTTTTAAGATACGTCGTCATCGTCGTCGACCAGAGAGAAATGTACGTCTCGTTTTTTCGATAATAGAGGGCATTTGACTTTATATGTTATCTCACTCTATCTATCTATATCTAAACAGCAGACCAGTGTTGCATGGTGTATTGAGTGTATCATCACATAAGACGCGCGCGCAGTTTAACTCTTATAATTAAAAATAAAATATTATTCAATATAAAATAAAATATTTATTAATAATATATATATAATGTTATCATATACATAAAAATATTAAAATTAAAATATCGAAATATAGAGGTATATTCGTCGTCGAGGAAGTATAAGTGTCTACGTGTTTGATTTCGAGGAAGTGAGCGTCTAGGTGTTCGCCTTCGAGGAAGTGAGCGTCTAGGTGTTCGTCTTCGAAGAAGTGAGTGTCTAGGTGTTCGCCTTCGAGGAAGTGAGTGTCTAGGTCTTCGCCGTCGAGGAAATGGATGTCTAGGTGTTCGCCGTCGAGGAAGTGGGTGTCTACGTGTTTGCCTTCCAGGAAGTGAGTGTCTAGGTGTTCGCCTTCGAGGAAGTGAGCGTCTAGGTGTTCGTCTTCGAGGAAGTGAGTGTCTAGGTGTTCGCCTTCGAGGAAGTGAGTGTCTAGGTCTTCGCCGTCGAGGAAATGGGTGTCTACGTGTTTGCCTTCCAGGAAGTGAGTGTCTAGGTGTTCGCCGTAGAGGAAATGGGTGTCTAGGTGTTCGCCGTCGACGAAATAAGTGTCTAGGTGTTCGCCGTCGAGGAAGTAGGTGTCTACGTGTTCGCCTTCGAGGAAGTGAGTGTCTAGGTGTTCGTCGTCGAGGAAATGGGTGTCTAGGTGTTTGTTTGTTTGTAAGAAACGTCGTCGTCGTCGTCGTCGCCATTGTTGCCAGCTACGAAGTGAGGAAATACATTCTGGAATTTTTGGCGCAAGAGATAAATGTGGTCGCAAGAAGAGTATCTATAAATCACATCGATATCATAGACGAACACGTAAGTGAGGTTAGAATAAATATCGACCGCTACGATCGTTAAAGTCAGATAAAGAGTCTTGGTAATAACAAAGGATTGAGGATAGGAAATCTATCACATCGATGGCATAGAATAGACGAACACGTAAGTGAGGTTAGAATAAATATCGACCGCTACGATCGTTAAAGTCAGATAAAGAGTCTTGGTAATAACAAAGGATTGAGGATAGGAAATCTATCACATCGATGGCATAGAATAGACGAACACGTAAGTGAGGTTAGATACTTTCTGCTTTATTACACAAATTCTCTGCTGTAATTCCGATGTAAGAATACAAATTATTTTCTATATAATTATTTTCTTTTTACAATATTTGGTTAGGTTATTTATTTACCGAGACAATACCGTGTCTCCAGATCTGTTATTTATTTGTTTGGTAGATACCTCAATTTGTATTCTCTATTCCTTATATAATTATAAAAGAATTGATTCTTTGTACTTTGTTGATAGGAAAAATCTGAAAAGAAAAATGGTATGGATTTAATAGATTCTTCCCTTTTCTTTCCAGGACCTTCCCTTCAATAAATCTGAAGATAAAATACAGCACAAAGAAGCAATTCTTTTTTAATAATAAAGATAAAACATATTTGATACAGTTACTCATAACATAAAATTACTTGGTTTTAGTATTGAAATCTTCAAAACTTTAAATAATTATTTAATGATAAAATATATTAACATGGAAAGTAATTGATATATTATTGAAGATGCTAGTTCAAAGTGAACATTCATAAAATGTATATTCTTTTGTTGCATATATACGTAATAATGATTTAACAACACATGCACACTAGATGTTTATAATAATAATGTTAAATCATTATTATTTCGTATATATGTAACAAAAGAATATACACTTTATGTATGTTTACTTTGAACTGGCAGCTTCAATAGTATATGAGTCACTTTTCATGGTAATAATGTTCACAATATTAGTTATTAATTATAATAATAATTTGTAAATGTATACTTATGAAGATACACGTGATTGAAAACTGGTTAACTTACACACATGTGCTCCAAATTCTTGAATCAAATATAGTGTTCTAAGTGAGAGATAGAAATAACGGTTTTTTAGATTTCAAAAATGAATCACATAAGATCAGTATTAATTTCAAAAGAATTCTTATGTACTCCAAAATCTTGAATCAAATATAGTGTTCTATGTGATCAAAATAA